CAAATTTTAGATTTCCACTATAAGACAATGAGTGCTATTATATGATCAATTAAAGCTATTAAACTAACATTTAAAAAGCCTTGATGTCAAAACTTGGGGGAAGGAATGCAAGTTAAAGAGATAAATTTGTCTCCATTTCTGTTATGCACATTGTATCTTGCCAGATATCTAGCTCAAAATCATATAACCATATTGTACATCTGCCATAGATGACATTCTAATATACACTAAATAGGCTTAGTGCCTAAGTGCCTGGCAGTGCTCCCACGCTGGGACCCTCTGGTGGAGTCTCAAACCTCAGATTAAAACCACTGTGTTAAAGTCCAGCATGTAGCAATTTCAGTGCTTCACTCCTGTCACTTAAGATACAAGTCAGCATTTAATTGTACAAATGTTCAATACTTTCACCAATTCTGTTCTGCAAGCAGAAATTACAGTTCAGGATCAACTCCAGATGGTGGTTACAAGCAGATTGGAATAGATGAAAGAAAATCTATTGGCTTTAAACAGAATTGCAATCCAGACTGCAGGTATCAAATTAAACGCTGTCTCTAAAAAAACATTGATCACAAAGCCCATTTCATCCTGACCTGAAAAGTTGCAGCAATACTTTCAAAGTAATAGTAACATATTGTTTGTTTGATAAACAGTACACATTCTTTTTAGATATTAAGGAAAACTATTTACTATTTAAGGTTGGTAAAATTTCATCCATACCTGAAGCCCATGATGGGGGGATTGGCTGTGGCCTGGCAGGTGAAGGTGACTCTCTCGCCCTCCAGGACAGAGCGAGGCTCAATGGATAGGGTCACCATAGGAGGGTCTACACAGTGAGAGATACATATTCACTGCACAGCTGAAGATAAACTGAATCATAATGTGAATGACTGTTGTGTTTCGGCTGCGCCAAGCTACTTGACGATTGATTTCCCACACAAATAAGTCACACAAACTATAAATTTCACAATAAAATCTGGTGTTCAAAACCGCACTGCTCTTCTGTAATAACACAGCATTGGTTCTACATCTAATGTTACTGCAGTTATTCTCCCAGTAATTACTAACTACGCTGGGTTGGAAAAACACATCAATCTTCTTGATTGAAAATTCTAACTATTTTCCTTGTGAGCAATTCATTCCTTATTTCTTCAGGGACACAACTGAAAGCCCTTTTAAAACACAAAAAGTTTCCGGTTTTCCAGATGTTGAACAAAATCCACTTGCAGAGCTGCTTTAGGAGAAAATTGCCAGCTCCTAAGATGGTGTCAAATCAATGCAAACTGCTAAATCAAACTTGGGACCAGCCCCAGAAATATAGTGGCTGTAAATTCATATGCACAGCATTTGTGTTGTTTGTGAATAATTACTTCAACTTGTCAAGTGCTAGGGCAGCTGATTAAAATTATAACATGATTTTGCTATGTGTCTACACACAAAGAGTTTGGCCCCACCCATGCACCTTTACAGTCTGACAGAGAACAAGGGCAACATACGGTGGACGTTGAGGGCAACAGTGGCACGTTTGCCCATCGGCACCGCCGGGTTGCTGGCAACACAGGTAAAGTTGCTGCCGCTGTCGGTGTCAGCCGGTGTGATGGGCAGGTAGCTCCTGGTCGTCACCCTCTTCCTGTCTGGTAGTACTTCCTGTATGGCAAAGAAAAAGGGAGTAAGAGGAAAGTAGGATTGTGGGTAGAGGATGATGTGGGTAGAATTTGGGGAGGGGAGCCGACAGAGACAGATCAAAGAAGAGTAGGAGGAGCACGGTGGATTGGGAAGGACGAAAAGGACAAAAAAAAAAAAAAAGCAATGGGAAATATCATGGGAGAAATAAGACAGAAGAAAGGAAGGAGACATAAGAGGGTTACTAATGGAGCCAAGAGAGATAAAGAAATAGCATAAAACGGAAATAGAAACAGCAAGTAATACAAATAAAATAACATTTTTAGACATCATGCAGGATAAATAGAAGTTGGAAAGAGAATTTAAAGTTTAAAGTAGAAATCTTACAGAAACCCATGTTCTTGTACTTTATCTTCAAAATACATAAGTATAATGTTGGCTCAGGAAAATTACTGCCTACAAAATGTTCTTTCAATTAAAGCAAGCTATTTGGTTTTATAACGACACTGGACTTTGCATTTAAAATGAGAGCTGAATACAGTAACACAGCAGCGCTAAAATGTTTCACAGATTTATCAGCTAAAACAACCACTTCGCAGCTTTTCTCACATTTATATCATCGATTGGGTTTTCAGTTAATTGGTCAGACAGAAGAAGTAATTTGTAGACGTCAACTTGGGGTTTGGGAATTTGTACACAGTGTTTGACATTTTATAGATTAAATGATTTCTGTAACAGTTAGACAATAACTGAGAGAGGAATTAATAATAACAATAATCCTCAGTTGCAGCCGTAAAACACAAGTTATACATGTGTTTCTGCGCAATGAGAACATAAAATCCAGTTTTGTTGAATCCTGGAGGTGGGGTGCTTTGCAATGCAGCAACAAAATCTGTCAAGAAAGTGTCTACAGCCTTTGCTGTAGTGTAAATGCGTGGTCAGTAACAAAGTAACATAAGAGCAGCATGTAATATGTATGAGCATGTGTGTAGGGGGGCATAAAACTGGCTGCAAGAGATGTAAAAAACATCTGTGTTTGAGTGTGTGAGTCAGTGTTTGCTGCTGCCTCTGTGTGCATATGAAAGCATGAGTGTGCATATGTGAGTGTGTGTCTACGTGCATGTGTGTGCATGCTAACTGGCATAATTTGTGTAGGAGAGTATATGGGAGTGTGAAGAGTGTGAATGCTGGAGAAAAGAGTGTAAAATATATCACTGTGATCACCTACAGTGTCACCTAGTACAGTTCCAGGCTATATGTATGTGTGTGTGTGTGTGTGTGTGTGTGTGTGTCTTTGTGTTTGAGAGCATCTCTGTCTTTGCATGTGGGTTAATTAAACATACTTTTCCTGTTTATAGTTTATTGTTTATAAAAGTATCTTGTATTGGATCTGTGCATGTTTCAGGTTTTGTCACGACCATAAAGTGTGGAAAGTAACTGATATCTAGTATGTGTATATGTTCTGTATCTATCTGTATTTCTCTTGTGTGTGGAAGCATGGCTGACGATGGTAATGTAAAGTTTATTGAAGGGGGGTGGGGGTAATTATGCAGACATCACATGTAGACTTTGGATCAATTGGATCAGGGGAAGATTGATCTGATGAAGATCCAATTGAGATCAAAACGTCTATCTAACAAATTTGTGGTTTAGAGTCAGTGTGTGGGCATTACTTATTGTGAATACAAAGTTTACTGAAATACCACAAGTTCATCTATTTAACTACAAGATAATAATACAATCTAACCTACGACCTAATAAAAGTACAAGTAAAAGAACAATGCAGAGATTATAAAGCTTCTCTCCAAACCTGATTTTCGTTTATTCAACTTTAAAAACCTCTTAAACGCAGAGAAACCACAGGTTACAGCTATTATGATTCTTTATTGTCATTACGCTCCGAAACTTAATTCACAAATCCACTGAAATGTGGAATGTGAAACAGTGGATGACTAACTCAACACCTCGCGACCCCTAAAATAAACTGATACAATAAATGAATCATATGATAAAGAAGAGATGTACACTCTAATGTGATGCTGTTGTTTCTCTTGTTTGGCCTTAGAAGAGTTCTGCACTGAACAAGTGAGCTTCTACCAGATGAAACATAAAAGGCATGCTGTGTCTACATTGTTGACTGTGGCATCATTCTGTATCTAAGCCAGGCACAGGGAATTTTGTGTGGCCTAGTTTTGTATAATTTAAGATGAATGTGTCTTGTCTTGGTCCAAAAATGCATTGCCGGCTTTGTTTCATTAAATGTGATGGTATAATTTAGCAATTTCAGTACTTAATGTTTTACTTTCAGTACGTTTTGCCTGTTCATGCCATTCATCAAATAAAAGAGCAGTCAAGTCTCAGAGTGAGAAGATGGGATGTTTCCATTGAAACTAACTGATTTTATTAGGATATAGTAAATAGATAGCAGCAATGCATTTCAGAGACGTTTGTGCTCTTTCATTGCCACTGTTAAAAACAAATACTGTGTTAATCAGATCACAAATGCTTTAAGTCTCCTGCCAGGTTTCAAGGCACCAGTTGCTGCTGCCCACTTGTAAGCAGGTCAGAATCTCCCATTTGTAAGCATTTAAAATCATTACTTAATAAATATGGTCCCTCTCTGCCAAGATGTTATGATTTTGTCAACTGAGGACCAAGAAAGGCTTATCTACCATACTGTGTGTGTTTCCCTAATGCAGGACTCTAGGGGAGATGTGTGGCCTGAGGTGTACATACATACTTCATAGTGCCCATGGCAAAAAAACACATAAACAAACAACAAACAGACTGAGAGTGAATGCAGTGCAGATTGTAAGTGCTAGAGTTTGTGTTACAAACTCCTTTGAAGCCAATAATAGGCATAATGTTAGTGTATTAAAATCTTCATGGTTTTATTTCTGTTATATATGGAATCATTTGTACACATGTGTTCCCTATCATCTGCATATGTGCATGGGTGTGTGTGAGTCACCGTGGACTGGTAGGCTCCCTCCACAGAGACTCCATCCTTGGTCCACAGGATGTGGGCTGCAGGCTTGGCCCCGCGGGTCACACAGGTCAGGTTGTACGGAGTCCCAGCCATCAGCAGGAGCTCCGGGGATCCATCCACCACCGGGTCCTCAGGGGGGACTGGAGGAGGCACACACACACAAAATCATAAATGTGTAAATGCACTTGCACATTTATGCAAGTGTGCACTAATGCATACAGACATATCTATGTACCCACAAAATACTGTCCAACGTGATGATTTTCTAGTAGAAGACCTTGAGGTATTTTCTCCTTTAATGTCAATAAAACTCATTGGAAGCATTAAAATCAGATTTCTGTTCTTTAAATGTTCACATTTTGGTAATACAGCATGTGGTTTTCACCAAACATGAGCAAAATGTTATCCTAGGAATCAGGAGAAGTTTATGCCATGTTGTTGAAATATCCAAATCCTGTCCAGCATTTTTCTCAGAAGGTTATAACAGCTTGACCTTCAACCTCTTTGCTGTTAGTAGTTTGTAACTGTCTAAATTCCTTTCTAATAGCTTGTCTCTGTTCCATATTTCATTCTTCCTTACTTAATGTAAGGTTATTCCCATGTCAGATAAGCAGCTCCACAAGATTGAAGAGATACAATAAATGCCTTGCTCAAGAGCCCCGTAAAACTGCAGCTTATGGTATTTTTCCTCATCTCCATCTGTTGTTTCACCCAAATCTGTGAGCTAGAAGATTTGAACCTGTACACAAACTTTGTTTTCTAACCTCCAAGTTACACACTGCTGCTCAGGTATTTCTCAGTTTGGATTATTGTGCTTTTTTTAACCATCTGTAATATTGTAATGTTGGCAGAATCTGTTTCCCACACCCAAGAAACTTATGGATTCTGGAAGTTGACTTGCGAGGGAGAGCTATTTGGCTAATGGAAACAGATAGGACACCCAAAGATTTTCTGCAAGGATGATGCATCAAATGCAGTCAATAGTATAGAACCAGTTGAAACAGGTCTGATAATGTGTGCATCCACATTGATGATGTAAGTTTAATCACACTGGTAACACACTGTAAATATGTCTCTGAAGAAGCCTCTGCCTCTGTGAAGCTCTTAACTCAGGAAACACGCTCTTCGCAAGGACATAAGTATCAACTTGGCATTCTTTGATTGCATAATCATCTCCGGCCTCCTTGGAATGAAAAATGTTGCCATGTATGTGCAGTGAGTTCACTTACTGAGTACATTGAGTTTGGCTCTCCTGGAGCGCAGGGCGGCCTCTGTGGCCTGACACTCGTACAGAGAGTCATCAGACAGCTCAGAATTGGAGATCTCCAGGTTGTACTGGCCGATGTCCAGAGCCCGCAGGACACGATACCTGGGCCAGGCTGCAGGAGACACACACCAGCTTCACAGTTAAATAGATGGTAGACATCCAGTAGAAAACTCACTTTGTGATTCATACGCTTCTGTTTTAGTTCTACTATAAGTGGTGTGTGTTTATTTGCAGGTCAGAAAACGACTGGTCAGAAAAGACTGATGAGGTTGGACAATGAACTTCTGGAATATGATTTAAAAATAATGTACTGTACTACCTGGAAAGCATGACCCACTGTTTTAAAATGATAGCTGGCATGAAAGAAGAGGCACATAATGCGCTGCTATCACAGTCATGAGTCATCATAATAGCACTGCTTTCACAAATGATCGGTCTGAAGATAATGTCTTTATTTTAGAAACACTGAGTTTCAGGTAGGTACACTGAGAAATGAAACTTTATTTCAGGTTTTGGAACAAAACTTTTTGTTTCCATCTACTTAAAAGAAAACTCGATGAAAATGTCAGTTCACGGGGAAAAGGAAGCTCCAGATTCACATTTTAGAGCTGGCATTTTTTTTACCTACTATATTTCTTTTAATGAAGGATGTCTTAAACTCCTGTTAAAAAGTTTAGGCTGGAAAAGTACAGATAGTGGAATATGAAAGAACATGCTGATAATTTAAAGAGGTAGTTCAATCAACAAATTTCTATAAAAAGTAGTCCTTATGAAAACTGTTCACAGTGTCTTCTGTGAACTACCCAGAGTAACAACAACACTCTTCCTGGAAAGGGATGCTTTTTGAAATAATGCTGTGAGTTGCACAAACAAAATTCCATTCATCTCCATTATATTGGGGTTGCAACACAAATCTCACAGACGGATATTTTAAAAGCTTAGCAAATAAAAGGTAAGGGAGAACATATTTTTAAGTAATTTTGCTGATCTTACCCTTTAAACACACACACAAAAAAATAAAGGGAAAGGAACATAAAATCTTTGAAAACAATTATGCATCGTCTTTTATTCAGTGTCAGTGACTGTATTTCTGTCCTCTGCTGACACCTGACTTGTTTACAAGATAAAGCAAATGTAAAAGCTCTTATGAAAATGGATAAAAGCTACATCACAATTACATTACATCAATCAGAGGCCGACAGCAGCAAATGGGACATATTTATGTGAAAATGTCAAAGCTTTTTATCATAACACACAGATAGCATTTAGCATTAATAGCATTTATTTCAGAAGTTCTGAGGACCTTTTGGGATTAACCAGAGCTGCTTCAAAGAGAAAGGTAACCAACACTCACACAGAAACACACACACAGCAGTGCAGTCGAAGATAAACAGCTGAAGGGTTTTTTGCACAAACACAGATCAAACATTGCTACGTATACAATGATGCCACATCAATTCCTCTATGATACATAAACTGCAAAACTACAGGCAGCACCGTTCCAATTACAACACCCCCTTTTCTCTCTGTTTGAACCCTCGCCTCTCAGACAAAGACATAATTGAGCGTGACGTCCCACTAGGGGGCACTCATTGATCCTCCGTGCCCAATCCTAACATGACATCATGGATTCAGATGGCAAAAGCAGGCAAGCAGGCAGGCAGTTGGGGTGCGGAGAGGAGGAAGGAGGGTGGGTGGGGGGGGGGACAAAAGTATTAGTGGAGATTACATCATCCACTCCAGCACCTCGCAGCATAGCAACCACAGAGGTGAAAGCACCCCGGGGAGAAGGAGAAGGAGAAGGAGGAGGAGGAGGAGGAGGTTTAAGACGAACAATAAACTGCCACCACTGATGCCTGCTGGTAGTAAGTAGATGAGTGTATGTAGGTATTTGCATTGATACATGTAAAATGATACACACATGTACATACATGTTGCTACTCTGATCATATATTAAAAGGGTTTTCTTCATATTTCATGTATTTTATATTTACATGCGCAACTATATGATGTCGATAAAAAATGTTTTTGAAGGTGAATGAACGCAGTTCTCCTGCATGTGTGTGGGTGTGCAAACTGCAGGTATAAATTTACTGCACAATCTGCACACCCACACTGTCATCAACAGCTGTATAAAATCATACAGGGAACATAACAACAACCTCTTATATGTCGTATTTCATGCGCCAACCACACATTAGATCAGAAAAGATTACCATTATTTGTTGGCGCAAATATTAAAAACTCAGTCTGTCCTCCATATATGCCATGGCTTCATGCTCACAGTATAAACAAGAGAAGCAAAAGATTGAGAGACACCATGTCAGGGATGAAGGGTAGAGCCGCAGCCCAGACAACTTAAGGATAAATAATGGACAGAGGGTGATGATAGATGGTTGAAAAGCAGACAAAAAGAGACAAAGAGGACAACATGTTTATCAAACGCCGGTGTGTTTGTCACCGGGACCATGCTCACAAAAGGCTACAAGGACAAAGAGAGCATTACCGACAGAAAGAAAGAAAGAGGGAGGAGGAAGGGATGAGAGGAAGAGGAAAAACAATGGAGGGTGATCTGGGAAATACATAAAGCAAGTAATGATGGAGCTGTAGCTTGAAAGACAGAGGGGCAGGAGAGAGAGAAAGAGAGAGAGAGAGAGAGAGAGAGAGAGAGAGACATGCTGACCTTTACTGAACCTGTGAATTAAATTGAGTTGAACACAAGATTCACATCACATGTCAGATTATCACTTGTGTGCATGCGTAAGGGTTTGTGTGTGTGTGTGTGTGTATTTGTGGGCGTTGGACTGACTGATGTGTGTGTGGGTGGATGTGTATGTGATGTCTATGAGTGCCGTACAGTATGGGTAGTTCTTTATGGATTAATTTACAGTGTGATGAGGAACGTGTGGTTTAGAGCTGAAAGGGCACAAAGTTTGTGAGAGCTAACGTACAATTTAGTACGCACATTATTAGATTGTTCATTAAAGTAAATATCTGTGACATTTTCATATATAAATAAATGTTTTTTTAACTTCTGTTGGGGAGGTTTTGGAATAGGGTTTCATAAAGGTAATGAAAGCTTTGTCTGGGTTTTCTTGAGAAAAACAAGAATTAACAAAAGAAAAACTATGTACTGTGCATGACATTTTAGTTTGCAAAGAACCAATATGTAATAGTCCTTCTCACAGTTTGATTGTTAGGTACAGGCAAATGAAGAGCAGAATTACCAGCATCAAAGGTAACATAACAAATAATATTATAATAATATTATACATTAAGCTACCCGGAGTATACAAATTCATTAAAAGTAGCCCCATCTTTACCAGAACATACACATTTATGCATCAATAAATACAATCCAACAATATACCACATATATATATTATTCTGAAATGGGACCTTCTGCATAATAACTACATTTTGATGCTAATACTTACTGCTAAATTTCCTCGAGTAAAAGTTTGAATGCATGACTTTTACTGTTATTGTGGCATAGTGGAATTGTTACTTTTACTTAGGTAAGAGATCTGAGCACTTCCTCCACCACTGCTTCGAAAACATGTCACACACAAAAACTTAATATACCGTATAATCAACCCTCAGTGGAATTTCTCAGTTCTGTTAAAGATACTTGAAAGATTCCATCTTTCAACAAATGAAAGTCTGTTTAAATCTGTAATCATTTTCATTACTAAGATATTTTGCCAAAATGTATCGTGTGTAAAGAATGAGAACTATCAGCAGTTGCAGTCATAAGATTTCAATACCATCAGTCAGTGAGCCACGGTGGTCAAAAGCTTGTTTGAATATTTTTGCCAAATGGGGTTGAGGTCAGTGGAGAGGGACATTTTTGCTTTTCTTCTTCCTCTTCCAGAATCTTTTCTTTTTTCGCGTTTCCTCTGACCATTTACTGAATGCAGAAAGAAAACTCTCCGTCTGTTGTGTCTTTGACCCCTTGGACTCTCCTCATTTTTGGTTGCATGTGATGTTTCCACTTCTCTGAAATGAAGTGCATTCTACTGTTGCACTCACAGTAAGTCATTCTGGATGTGCGTGTCGGCTTAAAATGTAAATGCGAATGTGCGTCTGCTTTTGTCAGCAGTGTGAGGGATTTTCTCTAATTCAGCATGATATACAGGACTCATTTTTGCCCAGATTGTCACTCACACGCCTCTTGGCTCTTAACTCTCTCTCTTTCTGTTCAGTGTTCATTCCCTTAATGTTAAAAAAAACCCTACACTTTTCAGGCATAATAGCTTTTGTCAGGGTTCTTACAGTCAAAACTGAACCGAAACCGTAGCTGAGTTATTCCCCTTCTTTGATCCCTGCAGCTTGGTAAGGATGCACGGTTCTTCTCTCTCTCTCTCTCTCTCTCTCTCTCTCACTCTCTACCACTACAGGATTTCTTTGCCCTCCCTCACCTCGAAGACCCTCTCCGATGCCGAGGGCCAGACCATCCTTGGTCCACTGGACGATGCCGCTGTAGTTGAAGACCACGCAGGACAACACCACCCGTTCTCCCAGTACCACCGACTGGTCCGCGGGCTCCTGTGAGAAGCGAATGCACCACACTGCAACAGAGGGACAGAGAGGGAAATCAATTTTAAGTTCCTTTCACTGTGACCTGGCCATGAGCTGCCATCTTTTATTGCACTGTATCGAGCTACATAGTCCCTCTTCGGTATTATCGACTGGTGCTTGTCCATATGGTGGCTGTTGGGGTGATTTGTGATGTGTCTTTATTGTGTATAGGGTGTTTTTATTGTCCTCTTTTATTATGTGTTTTTATTGTGAGTGTGTTTTAATATAAACCCTGTCTGTGATTCCAATTTCTCTTACGGGACAGTAAGGCTTTGAATTGCTTGCATTTATGCGCATGTAGACTGGCTGAATGGAGGGACACTGGAGAATTTGCAGATTTTATTTTAGAAAAATCATTCTAATAATTTCTCTCTTTAACTGGACCCAGAGCTCAGTTGCTCGGATTTGCATATTTGTCATTCTTCTGTGCCTTCTGCCTCTGTTTCGTCTCTTTCTTGCCCCCTTTTCAAGTTTTTCCCTGGACTTTGCTTAGGCTTATGTGTGTCTCTGCGTGGGTATGTGTGAGTGAAAGTGTGTATGTGCCTGCATGGTTGTGTAAGTGCGCTTGTGTTGCAAGAACATCATTGCCAAGCTGTGATACAGCCTGCTCTTTTTCATCACACAGTACAAAGGATTTTGCTTACACACACACATTTCCTCCAGCAAAATAAGCCTTTTGGCTATTGCAGTGCCACTAAAATACACGGATATAAAAACTACAAGTGTAGCGCCCGCATACATTAACGCTCTCGCATAAAGAGAAAGTGTCAGGTGAGGAGGCGAGGCACTAACCCGGCGCTGTTTTCAGCCGTTTGCATCATCAGGTAAAATTGTTTCATATTCCAGAGAAAGTCTTGCGAGAAGGCGCGTTAATTAAGGCAGAGAAGGAGACTGTGGAGCCTTAGATGACACATGCACACGCACATGCATGAGCACACACACAAACACGCTGCATCTTATACAAACAGAAGCTCCTGCACACATGCAACATTGAATCACACCCAATTTATGCACTCATACACACACACACACACCTCACTGAGTCATTCACTCACATGCAATTGCTCATTGAGTCACACAGCAGAGGATACATGCAGACACCCACACACACACATACATTTCCAGAGTTGGTGTTTGTCTTCCCGTGGGCTATTCTGTTCTTGGATCATGGTTAAAACAATCCTATTAGCTAATTAAGGCAAAACTGGTTAATAAAGCAGGCCGTGGCTCTGAGGGACACATCTCAGCGGGATTCAACCACAAAGGTGCAAACAACAGGGAGATTTACTGATTTGTCAGGAGGATTACACGACCTGTCATGTTATTTGTGCAGAAGGCTCCTTTTATTGAAGACGGGACTCTTTAGACTTCACAAGAAGCACTTTGATGTTTCATCAACTTTCCTTTTGAATTCTGAATCAAGAAGACAACTGCTGTGACTGTGAGCTGATAGCTGTGATCTCCGTTTGAAGTTAAAGGGTGAATCCGCCTAAAAACACTTGATTACTGCTGTTGTTTGGTTATGTTGTTTTTGCACGTATTCTTCCTTTTGGTTTGGTTTTTTCGTACCTATATTCTTTCATTTGTGAACTGTGAATCATTTTGTAATCCAGCTTTCAAAAAGTTAAGTTTTACTGACTTACTTTTGGTGTCAGCTCACCGAATTAAAGAAAAATGGCTTCTCATTAGACACCACTTTGCTCTGATGTTCAAATAAGTTCAAATCTGGTCCCTTTTAGGCAGACCAAGGAGAAAAAGGATTTTAACATTCTTTATTTAGTAGGCCATATTGATTAAAACACTGACAGCTTCTGAGCTTCAACTTCAGCCCCCAAAATTACTCTTTAAACAGTCAAATGTGGAGCAAACTACTGAAGGAGAAACACAAAAAAGCCTCAATAGACCAAAATGCAATGCAGTTTCAAGACATTTTGATATTTGACAATGATACTACAAAAAGATTTACCTAATCAATGGCAGACAAGTCAAGACAGGCAGATCCTCTAATTATACATACATTTAGTCTATTATGTAGACATAAAGAATATCGACAACTTCCTAAAACCTGACAGAAAAAGTGATCATGATTTCCCCAGCCTCTCTCTTTCTCGCTCTCATCTTCAGAAGTCAAACACAAACAGAGGAGCTAAGACAATGACACAGTGAAAATGGAAGTTGCTGCTGTTTCCCATAGAGAAGAAGAAGACTGAGCTGCTGGGATGTGATATCCTGCTGACATGAGTGATTTACATGTGGGTCATGTTATGCATGATTTATGCAAAATTAACAGCTATTACGAGTAAGGGCCCTCTTCTTCGTGTATAACTCTGTACAGAACAACGCACGTTCTCCTGGGACAGACTGCAGTGTGTTATTGTGTGTTTGTGTGT